TATTTGTAGAGTTGTTTGTATATTGAAATGGATTACATTTGGGAATTTTGTTGAGTTAAATGAATAAGTATTTGTTTCGTTTACGATTATCATATAAACTAACTTTCAGTTCATTTAATGTTTGGCCTGATGTCTATGAATTTAAATAAAACAGTCAATCATTTGATTTAATCATTAATTAAATATGTTAAATATATTGAAATAAATGATCATTCATTAAATATACTGCATATCATAACAATAATCGTATATTTATTATAATATTAAATATGGATAAAAATTTATTTACAGAAACGAAAATAAAAATCTAACAAAACATAACCAGTCATAACATAATACAATTTCTAATTCATTAAATTTAAATACATGTATGTTTAATAGAGACAAACATGCCTAAATATTGCTCAAAATATAACCTTACAAGTGTACAAGTGGATATACAGTATTGTGGAATTATTATTGCAATATTAATATTATTAATAAAAATGAATGGTATTATTATCTGCGAAATTAATTATATGAGTTGGTTATCTAGAAATATAATAAATGAAATTAATAATTAAAATGTATTATTTGATAGGAAATTACATTTATTATAATTTAAATGATTAACTAGCGATATTGTAAACGGGAAACACTAATAATTATTGTTGGTAAATTCATTATTTTTGACAACTATTATATTAATTATTAAAATGTATATATAAAACATGTTATGCAAACAAATGCCAATTGTATTATTTAATTATAATTACAGCAAACAATTGTGATCAATATATAGACAGTTCAGTGCAAATGAATGGCACGTTCACATCACCCAACTATCCCGACACATACGCCAGTAATCTTCACTGTACTTATCATTTCACTGGACGGGGAAAGGAAAGGATTCAAATACTATTCACTGACTTTGATCTCTATTTACATAACGAATTCGGACCAATCAGAGAGTAAGTGATCCTTTCAATTGTTAATTTTTTTGTATAACAGAATTTTCTTAAATATTGAGGTTTTATTAGTGAAAAATCATTTTATCAATTTTGAATTTGGTGTGTTTTAAAGTATAACTTCCATCACTAGTAATAGTATTATTAATAATACAGAATATGGTATAGAATTTAAAATATTTGTAAATTATTTTGGGCTTTTGTTTGTCTTCAATAAATTGGTTATTCTGTTCGGCAATTGATTTTTGACAAACGATTCAACAAAAACTGCATTTTTATCGAGATTTTCATACATTTGTATGAATGGATGCAATAAGAGTTGGGATGTGTTGTACCGTTTCTCGGGCTCTGGATGAAGACAACGCTCGACCACAAACTTCTTAAACTCTTTTGTGTATCTCTTTTGCAAATACAACTCGTATTTGAGTTTCGTGTTTGGCTTGTCTTCAAAATAGTCTTTGAGGTCTTGACCCAAGTGTTGATTCAATTGCTGCAAGTCTTTCGACGTGGAGTCGAGGGGTTCGGGAATTTCGCCGTTAAGTTTGTTGAGAAGTATTTCCGACGGCTCTAAACCGGCGAAAGGTGTGGAACCGTTGGCCAACTCACAGCACGTAATGCCAACGCTATAGATGTCGGCTTTGGTGTCATAACCGCACAGATTCTGCTCGAGTACTGCCGGTGCCATCCAATTGTGATTAGAGTCCGCGTGAGGCGGGTATTCAAACAACGGTATCATAATTTCGCCGTTTCTGATGGCACTGATTGAGTACTTCAGACCCGACAGAACGCACCGGAACTCAGTGTCCGGTCGACCGAACACTAGTATATGTGAGGCGCGGATCGAGTGATGGATAACACAGTTGTTGTGCAGATATTGGACACCATTTAACACGTCTCTCATGACAAAAGCGATGCACTGTTCGGACACTCCGTAAGGTTTGCTCAGCTCTGCCAAAGTGAGGCGCGGATCGAGTGATGGATAACACAGTTGTTGTGCAGATATTGGACACCATTTAACACGTCTCTCATGACAAAAGCGATGCACTGTTCGGACACTCCGTAAGGTTTGCTCAGCTCTGCCAACGACTGGAACTCTGCGAACGGCATTATTGTCCACAAATCGCTTCCATTGATAAAACTCGATACAAAAGGAAACAGATTCTTGTGTTTCAGACGATTCGTTAAATTGATTTCGTTTTCATAATACTCTAAATCCGGACAATCCTTGAGATTAGTCTTTCGTAACGCGAATCGAGTTTCTGTGGGTTTATAGCGGACGGTGAAGATGTCAGGCGTCTGTAGCTCTTGTATATCGCCGTAATATTTGATATCTCTTTTGAGTAAACCTTGATTTATATCCATGTTTTCGATGAATGAATTCAAATATCGTTTTCCCTTTAAATCACATTATTATACATTATATGAGTACTTAAACGCACGCATTCTTGTCAGTGATGTCTGTTTTGAATAATGTTTTTTCAACATAACGTCTGAATTAAACGATTGAATATAAAATATGGGCAAAGAATCATGAGATTTATCGAAATCATTATTGTTTTCAATTTAGTTACGCTTTTCTTTCATATAAAAATAGTAATATGTAAGTTATATAAGTTTTGATCATAAAAATAAACACTTTAGCGCTTGGATAGCGTTGGGCACAATCGTTGGCCATTGTGTTCATAATAGCCATTATAGTGAACGCAATTTAGATGAACATTTGAGGACAGAGTTGACAACACATTCGCAACAGTGGTATAAATCATAACAACTTTTTCTACTTTATTGGTCTTCATCTGAAATATAACATAAAATAAAATGATTTAACAAATTGTTTGGCACTAAAAAAATAAATATAAAACTCGAATACAAATAATTTTTGTGATCAATACTGTACTGCATTTTATGGCAAATATTATCGTTTTATATTTTATACCATAATTCGATGTAAAATTGTTAAAAATATATTTAAATGAAATATTTCAAAGAAATTAATTATAATAATTATAATAAACTATACATTGAAATGAAATGTTAATCCAATAATGATTATAACACATGCAGTTGCGAAGGAGTCGATGCCGTTATGGTATTCATCACAATAAACGGACACAAAGAGCGAATCGACAACTTTTGCGGACACAAACTCCCGTCTCAGCTCATGTCTAACGGGCCCTCAATGAGTGTGGAGTTCAGAACCACTCAAACTTCCCGCACCGGCAAAGGATTCCGGTATTCATTGCATTTTATCGTCAATTCTTTGCTTTAACTCTAAACTAAACATAAATTTGTTTTATTTTCAGTGCAATCTATCGATTCATTAACAGTGAGTACTTTTTTTGTTACAACCCCTTGAAAACAAGAGTATTTAATTGTATTTCACTAATGAATTGCTTTTAACGATAGATTTTGGCATAAGTGGTGGCACTCAAGACGATAGGGAAACTGGTAATTAATTTTCCATTTATAGCTACTCATAGCTAATTATTATTGATTAAAAATTAAAAATAGTAATTTTAAAAAATTTACATTCATTATGCAGTTTGCGGATTCATTTTCAACAGCACAATACATCCCAACGGCTCATTCACATCACCTAATTATCCGGGTATTTATAGCCAAAAGATAACAAAATCAATTTGATTTAAATAACTACATCTCAAACGAGTTGTTAATAATGTGTATTTGGCTTTTATTATGTCAAACCGCCGATTAGGGCTCTATCCTCGAGACACTGAATGTCACTATCATTTCTACGGACAGCTTAACCAAAGAGTTCACATTACTTTCGCCTATTTCGATGTCGAAGGAGTGCCTCCGTATGTGTTTTATCATTTCAATAGCCATGAAATAATCAATTTTGAAGTTATATTAATTTTTCTCGTATTGATTGCAGCTGTGATTCAAATACTGCCAGCGATTTCGTTGAGTTCAGTAACTATCGGACGGTTGACCGAAAAATGTCGCGAAACTGTGGCGTCAAAGCGCCCAAAAATGTCATCTCCGACAACGACTTCTTCCGCATTGCGTTCAAAACCAACGATAAGTTTGACGGCACGGGATTCGAGGCCTTCTATCAATTCCGGGCCCACGACGGTTGGCACACACTCTCAATTGACCATATTTTATATTTATCATTTCATTGGTTTATTGTTTTATTTCTAGATTCAAGTAATGGTTTGCACAAAATCGCCACATTTTCAAAAAGTCACGCCAGCGGTAAATATAATGCTTACTTTCAAATGTGAATTAGAAATAAAGTTTAGTAAACTTGAAAATTGATAAAATTGTTTTTACTGTATATATCATAGATATTTGTGATGTAATTGAATTGTGGACTAATTGAGTAAATTTATTGATATTATAGGAACATTCTGGTTCTATCAGTATTGCTAATCATTAAATATTTGGCAAATTTAATAAAGTTATTACAATTCTGTCGTTTCTCTATAGAATTTTTCCTAATTATGATTTTATAAATGTTTTTATTGATAAAGATTGCAGAATATAAGTAGTGGGATCTCAAACCAAATCATTTCAAATTTATATTTTAGTCTAATTTTATATCAATTCATTTAATCCACCATTTATTAATTCAAATAATTCTTTAACCACTTTTTAATTTTTCTCAATTCTCTAAATTACAGGTAAAAGCAATTTGTCGTTAATAATGGTAATAATACTCGTGGTGTTTATGGCATTTGAATCGAGCTTTGAATATATAAATTGAGATCATTTTCATGATAAAAGTGTATAATTTCTAAGTAATATACAGCAACTTATTAGTGAGGCGCGGATCGAGTGATGGATAACACAGTTGTTGTGCAGATATTGGACACCATTTAACACGTCTCTCATGACAAAAGCGATGCACTGTTCGGACACTCCGTAAGGTTTGCTCAGCTCTGCCAATGACTGGAACTCTGCGAACGGCATTATTGTCCACAAATCGCTTCCATTGATAAAACTCGATACAAACGGAAACAGATTCTTGTGTTTCAGACGATTTGTTAAATTGATTTCGCTTTCATAATACTCTAAATCCGGACAATCCTTGAGATTAGTCTTTCGTAACGCGAATCGAGTTTCTGTGGGTTTATAGCGAACGGTGAAGATGTCGGGCGTCTGTAGCTCTTGTATATCGCCGTAATATTTGATATCTCTTTTGAGTAAACCTTGATTTATATCCATGTTTTCGATGAATGAATTCAAATATCGTTTTCCGTTTAAATCACATTATTATATGAGTACTCAAACGCACGCATTCTTCTCAGTGATGTCTGTTTTGAATAATGTTTTTTCAACATTACGTCTGAATTAAACGATTGAATGTAAAATATGGGCAAAGAATCGCGAGATTTATCGAAATCATTATTGTTTTCAATTTAGTTACGCTTTTCTGTGAAATACAAATTGTATATAAGTTTTGATCATAAAAATAAACACTTTAGCGCTTGGATAGCGTTGGGCACAATCGTTGGCCATTGTGTTCATAATAGCCATTATAGTGAACGCAATTTAGATGAACATTTGAGGACAGAGTTGACAACACATTCACAACAGTAGTATAAATCATATCAACTTTTTCTACTTTATTGGTCTTCATCTGAAATATAACATAAAATAAAATGATTTAACAAATTGTTTGGCACTAAAAAAATAAATATAAAACTCGAATACAAATAATTTTTGTGATCAATATTGCATTTTATGGCAAATATTATCGTTTTATATTTTATACGATAATTCTGTATAAAATTGTTAAAATATACATGTACAGTATTTAAATAAAATATTTCAAAGGAATTAATTATAATAATTACAATAAACTATACTATGAAATGAAATATTAATCCAATAATGATTATCACACATACAGTTGCGAAGGAGTCGATGCCGTTATGGTATTCATCACAATAAACGGACACAAAGAGCGAATCGACAACTTTTGCGGACACAAACTCCCGTCTCAGCTCATGTCTAACGGGCCGTCAATGAGTGTGGAGTTCAGAACCACTCAAACTTCCCGCACCGGCAAAGGATTCCGGTATTCATTGCATTTTATCGTCAATTCTTTGCTTTAACTCTAAACTAAACATAAATTTGTTTTATTTTAAGTGCAATCTATCGATTCATTAACAGTGAGTACTTTTTTGTTACAACCCCTTAAAAACAAGAGTATTTAACTGTATTTCACTAATGAATTGCTTTTAACGATAGATTTTGGCATAAGTGGTGGCACTCAAGACGATAGGGAAACTGGTAATTAATTTTCAATTTATAGCTACTCATAGCTAATTATTATTGATTAAAAATAGTAATTTTTAAAAATTTACATTCATTGTGCAGTTTGCGGATTCATTTTCAACAGCACAATACATCCCAACGGCTCATTCACATCACCTAATTATCCGGGTATTTATAGCCAAAAAATAAAATCAATTTGATTTAAATAACTACATCTCAAACAAGTTGTTAATAATGTGTATTTGGCTTTTATTATGTCAAACCGACGTTTAGGGCTCTATCCTCGAGACACTGAATGTCACTATCATTTCTACGGACAGCTTAACCAAAGAGTTCACATTACTTTCGCCTATTTCGATGTCGAAGGAGTGCCTCCGTATGTGTTCATCATTTCTATAGCCATTAAATAATCAATTTTCAAGTTATATTAATTTTTCTCGTATTGATTTCAGATGTGATTCAAATACTGCCAGCGATTTCGTTGAGTTCAGTAACTATCGGACGGTTGACCGGAAAATGTCGCGAAACTGTGGCGTCAAAGCGCCCAAAAATGTCATCTCCGACAACGACTTCTTCCGCATTGCGTTCAAAACCAACGATAAGTTTGACGGCACGGGATTCGAGGCCTTCTATCAGTTCCGGGCCCACGACGGTTAGCACACACCACCAATTGACCACATTTTTAATTTAGTATTTCATTGGTTTATTGTTTGATTTCTAGATTCAAGTAATGGTTTGCACAAAATCGCCACATTTTCAAGAAGTCATGCCATCGGTAAATATAGTGCTTACTTTCAAATGTGACTTAGGAATAAAGTTTAGTAAACGTGAAAATTAATAAAATTGTTTTTATCACGTTATATAATATACTTTATACGCATACGTACATGCGACTACACATATAATTTATACTGTATCATAGATATTTGTGGTGTAATTGAATTGTAGACTAATTGAGTAAATTCATTGATATTGTAGAAAAATAGTGGTTCTATCAGTATTGCTAATCATTAAATATTTGTCAATTATTTGGCAAATTTAATAAAGTTATTACAATTCAGTCGTTTTTCTATAGAATTTTTCCTAATTATGGTTTTATAAATGTTTTTATTGATAACGATTGCAGAGTATAAGGAGTGGGATCTCAAACCAAATCATTTCAAATTTATATTTTAGTCTAATTTTACTGGGTATACACTAATTTGTCAATTCACTTAATCCAACATTTATTGATTCAAATAATTCTTTAACCACTTTTTAATTTTTCTCAATTCTCTAAATTACAGGTAAAAGCAATTGTTTGTCGTTAATAATGGTAATAATACTCGTGGTGTTTATGGCATTTGAATCGAGCTTTGAATATATAAATTGAGATCATTTTCATGATAAAAGTGTATAATTTCTAAGTAATATACAGCAACTTATT